CGTGCCAGGGGGGAAGGGTGCATAAGACGCGTTTACTCGTGTTGAACACATTTTTTGGGAAAGCCCTGTCAACACTAATAGCAAAAGGTCACGGGACTCTGCGCGAAAGTCAAGTTTCGTAAACCTATCTCTAATGGACAAGGCCTTCCATTCATAAGAAATGAACGAAAAAATTGTGAAAGAACAAACACAAAAATTGGTTTAATGATTTTAACTTCCGCCGCCGCGCCGTGCAAACCGCACCGTGTTTAGCGCAATGCGTGAAGTATTCGCGTGGTCTTGTAGGCGCTATGCGTTTCACGCTGACCGCACTGTGTTTGGCGCAATGCGTGAAGTATTCATGTATTCTTGTAGGCGGTATCCGTTTCACGCTGACCACAATAACCGCACTCTGTTTGATGCAATTTGTGAAGTATTCGTGCAGTCTTGTAGGCGCTAATATGTGTTACATGCCGATTGCCGCGCCGAGGGCTTCTCCTTTTCATCTCAAGTCCTCGTCATCATTTCTCCCTAAGTTCGCGCCATTCCAGGCCAAATTATGTGTTTGGTTTCTCTCTTAACTCGACTAATCAAAGGTGCTGTGCTTGTATCACTGAAAGACGACAAAATTAGAAATTACTATACTTTCAGGAAATGAGAGATTTTGTAGCATTTTCTCGTTTGTAATTAATGTAAAAAAACTAACTAATATTTATTAACCGCAGGTTTATATTACCTTGTGTTCTATTTCCCATATTAACCCAATATTTCGGTTACTTTTCCCTACTGTGTAGATTCGACTTTTTCTCGAGGCTCAACCGCAAAATTTATACAAAATAATGCTCATTGAAATCAAGATTCGGCAACATTGCATGGGCACGAGGCCCGGAACCAATCGGTGGATAGCTGCCCCGCATTGGCCAACCCGAAGGCGCGAGTTTCACATGGGCATCCGTTCCGCCGATTCGAAATTCGCCCGCCCGCACGTCCACGGGGAGGGTGGGGGGGGTGGAAATAGGCCGGGGGGCGTCCCCTCTTGGTGACTCGAGGAAGTGATTAGGGATTCCGGTCGGAAAGTTGATGAGGAATCATGAGAGTGAAATGACTCCGCGCGCGAAAATGACGCAGCGGCGCGATTTGAACCAGAAACCGCGGGCGGGGCGGGAGGGGGAGGGGTATTTCCATTGCTAAACACTTGAATACTGGGTCATTTATCGCTGGCTATAGAATAGTGTTTTGGTACTTGCGAGTAATAGATTGGCAAAAAATCAGACGATCGATCAGTCCGTTTTTTGCTTCGATATTGCTCGGACAAGAAAAAACTTCCGGTCGTAGAATAATCGGACCGAGTTCATCAGAAAGGAACTAACCCACATTTTCAAAAAAAATTGAGTTAATGATATTTTGAGTGTCTCTGGTTGTATATTTTCCTCTGCCAAAAATTCCAAGTCGAAAAAGAAATATTAGTCTGTGAAAAGAGGGGTTAAAGTTTACTTTCAACTTTCTACATAAAGTTTTATGGAGGAATAAAACTTCAAACCTCTTTTTCTCAATTTCAACTTGATGTGGGTTGGTTCCTTTCTGATAAAGTCGGTTCAATAATTATATGACCGATTTTGGTACAATACCATGAGTATCGTAATCAACAGCAAACTATATGCCACTGGGTCCAGGTAACCGAAGAGTTCGAGCCCACTGCTTTGGTGTGCCATACGAACCTTGCAACCGAAGTTTCATGGCCTTAATTTGAAGATGTGAGTTTTCAAAATATATTTTAAGACACTCATCAAACAGCGTTCTTTTCGTCTGAAATAGTTGTAAGCAGATATCAGTATCTCCTGAAAAGTTGACGTTTTAAACCTTCGCCTTTTCCTAAAGAGAAGGTCAAATATATTACATTTTGCAATGAGGGACCACTGTCTCTGGCTCTTCCATAAAAACGCATATCTGCATAGGGGAACCAATGGCACATTTGTAGTTTCTAAAATGAGCTAGAAATAGTGGTTCCTTATTTCAAAATGTAATTCAAATCAAGTTGGTCAGAATTGCGTTCTTCCTCACTATTTTCATTCCCCTCTTTACTTACCTCTTCCTCCGCAAGCAAGCTGCAGTCAACGAACAACCAATCGTATGTTTGGATTCAGACTGCATGCAAATTGACCTCTACGCGGGTAACGTAGCAACCGCTCGGTGAAGTGTATATCAATGGGAATCTTTCATGGCAACCTTCCATTAGATCGAACTTTTACTTGCGTTGACCTCAATGTTACAGGTTGATCCCACAACTAAGCTTACGAAACACCTTTAAATTTTATTGCATAAAAGCTCTTAGACTAGGTTGTCGTAAAATGCCACTTCCGCTCATATTGATTATACCGAGTTAGTGCTTACAATCATACATCTGATTGTGAGCCGTAATCCTGATGAAGGAAATCGAATCTATGAAACTCGATCAGTAACAACTCTGAAAACATGAAGAAAAATTATCAAAAGATTAGTATAAGTATCAATTTTTTTTTTTTTTTACGCATTGAACTATAATGTAAGACTTTTTCGACTCTGGAAAATTTCTGGATTTGATTTTGATGAAATAATCAACCCGGAATTTTCACGAGCAATTTTCTTTCAAATTTGACGGAAAATTAAAAACTATATGGGAGTGAGAAACTTTCAGAATTTAGAGTTTGCTTGAGGAAACTTTATTCCCGGTATTTTTCAAAATTTTTTCTCGCACAGAAAATTGCAGACAGATCTTTACAGCGAGAAAATTTTCCGCCTTGGGATGTCATCGGGCAGAACGCGGCAATTAAGACTCATTTTAGCAGATTACATCATTCCGTCATAAAATTTAGAAACGTGGTTCACGTGCGTAGTTTATCGAGTATTTTCCACTTATGAATTAAAGTCGTCAATTCCAGAAACCTGCAAATTCTCAGTTTTAGAAACCACGGTTTGACTACCTCATCGACTGACGTCACATTTGAAACAGGCTCTATATTTAATTAGGATTGATCTGATCCCAATAGTGACGTCACGTTTAAAATAGTGCTCGTAGCCTGGAAACCAGGGTCTCCCACCGCGGCGTTGCCACGTTGTTAGTGTGAAGATGGGCCTCCTACACTTCATGGTGTGTAATATGCGTCGTGTTGGCAGCGGCGGCCATAGGGGACAATAATAGAAAACTGCCATCGCCCGAAAGGGGTTATCGTGTCACGGCGATGAGTCTTGTCCACCTCTCGGCTGGTCGCTGTTGCCTCGCTCGGTGCCTGCAATCTGGAGAATCTGCCTCGTAAAACTTGAAATATTATTGAAGGAATTTTAAAATATTTTTAAAGCGCTTTGTAATTTTTTTTACTAATTTTTTTCTCGAAATATTTTGAGCGACTACACTGAGAAAAAAATTCGACTGTATGACTTGTAAGTACGATGCTCTACCAGGGTGTCTACAAGTCCGGAATTTCCGGAAAGCCCGGAAATAACACTGATTTTTTTAACGGTGGTCCGGGAGTACTGAAAAAGTGCGGAAATTCTGCAAGAAGGTCCGGAATTTTTGTTATTCTTGTCGCGATTTGAGGGAGAAATTCAAATTTTTGATATTTTTCGAATGGACCACTAGACAAGGTACGAATTTCAGCATTCTGATACACGTTTCTTAACCAAAATTTCACGTAAACCACGATGTGCACAACGAAAATTACCGATATCAACTCCTTCCGAAGATATTAATGATTCTTGGTGCGTGAATTCAAACCACCCGCTCATGAAAACTCAACGCTCTACGTGATTCACATCGCTCGTAAACGTTATCATGAACGTCTGTGCGATGAAAAAATCTGGCAACCTCAATCTTGACACTTTGGCTCAGCTATAGCAAATTAATTATAGTTTGAAAAACACATGGTGGGAAATGAACATTGCTCGATTGAGAAGATTGCTGAAACCGTTGTAGTGCGCGATTTGACTTACGTAGAGCTTTGAGTTTCTTGTGAGCGGGCAATTCAAATTCCTCGTAACCAATGTGAAATAAAAATGTTAATAGCTTCTTTAGGAGTTGGTTTCAGTAATTTTCGTTGCGCGAATCGTGTTCTACTTGAAATTCTGGTTAAGACACATGTATCAGAATGCTTAAATTTGTACCTTGTCTAGTGGTCCATTCCGTCAAATGGAGGTACTGAAAAAGTACTGAATTTTTCTGTTGAGGAGGTCCTGAATTTTTGGGAATGTACTGAAAAAGTACTGTAAAAGTACTGTAAAAGTACTGATTTTTGGCGAGTCTGTTTTAGTAGACACCCTGTCTACATCGGCCGTACTATCCGGTTCAAGTAAACGTTTTCTCGGTCCTAGAAACTGTATCCTCGGTTCGTGCAATCGAACTTTTCAATAATCTTGGTTTAAAACCATCCAATGATGAATGAGGTTGATTCATGAAGGGGCATCTTACATAGCCTTGCTATTCACACGAAGAAAGGACAATGTGCCATTTGGAGCACGCTTGAAACTAGGACAGCTGTGTCAAAAGTATTGTTCAACGTTCCTCCAAAAGCAGTCACTCTGACGATCTCTTTTTGAGCGGCGAATGACAACCTAGAGTGCCTTCATTTTGTCTACACGCAACACGGGCATCTCCGGAGCAGGTTTAGTTGTATCCAGGCTTCATCGTCAACTAACCTAACGGTGGCGTTGCCGCAATACTCAATTTCAGTTCAAGAATGAAGCCTGCCCAACTTTTCTATAGTTTTAATAGTACGCTTGGCTAGAGCCAAGCGTACTAACGACAGGTTAGAACCTGTCGTTCAAATATCAAATGACTCCTATGCAAACATTCCATGTGTTGCTACACAAATTTCATAGTTTATCAATCTCAACACCAATATGTCACCCATTCAGACCGATTTTTTTCGAAAGATATGTCGCTCCGCCTCTCCAAGTGAATCTATCCATTGTTTTCAACAATGAAAGAGATAAAACTTTAATCCTATTAGTTCTGGGACTTAATTGTTATCTTTTTGCTTATTTTCCAGATGCTCCAAATGAAGGAGTTTACATGGTCTGCGGTGTCCTCATCGCTATGATTCTAGTTGCCCTAATCATCGTTCTTTTAGCCGTTACAATAAGGTAAGACATCCTTACGCAGGTACTTCTTTACAAAGGGAAACTATTGTAAGTTTCACTTTACCTCTGCTTGATTTTGGATTCAGGTCCTTTCACTAGTGAGGTTGATTAAGTCCGTGATAGCATTCACCATTTTTTGGTATATTTCAACCAGTGATATGCTAAATGGACTTCATTTTGCAGTAAGGAGCGACTATTTCTCATCTATAAAAGCATCTACCTGCGTCAGGAAACTAATGTGAACTAAACACACTTTGCTTCTATAATATTGGCCAAAAATAGTAGTTTCATGTCGCAAAGTGAGGTCCAAATGTTAGCAGAGCATGACTAAGGCAGAGACTTTCCTAAATGTGTACCTGAGTTCAAAATTAGGTAGACTTACTATGAAACTCACCTTAATTTGCCACTAAAATTTTCAAAATTCTTCATTTTCTATGTTCTCTTTTCCGATCACTCCCAATAATACGGAACGAGAATCATTCTGTCAGCTGTGACAATTTTTCAGAAAGTTTAATTTTTTAAAGTAAAAGTTCCAACGCAGTGATAGGTCCTTGGTAGGGCAAAAGGGACGGCCACCCCTTCTCACCACCAACAAAGTGAAATAGATGGATGCAAAAGAGGGGGAAAACATTGAAAACATGCCGAGAAGAAAACTCTTTTTCGGGTCCATGAGGCATGATCCCTCCGTATACTTCATTCTGCGAGGAATGAAACTTTCAGATTGAAACAATCCACGGGGGTGAAAACCTAATTATAGTAAACCACTACATTAGCTTTTCTTCCACTTGTATCAATCTTGTCGGCCCACCTCTGCAATCTTCATTTCCAATTTTTATGAATACTCTATTCACTATTGAACTGTTACGAAATCAGGAGATGGCATTATGAGAACCATGCTTTTACATGCACGCTGTCCCAATAGCAGAGACCAGCAACTCACAAACTCATCACCCAAGAAATGAATTATGCGAGACTAATGATTTTGTACATTTTAACATTGAATCAAATCGAAAACGATAATTGAAAATCAATTTGTCTCGCAGCAAGTATCTAGTATGTATAACCTTATGCATAGTTTTCCTGGCTCAGGGCCAAGTTCATGTGACGAAATGTCTGTAATTCTCAACGTCTCAAGAGCGCAGTTGCCGAATGTCTCCAAAATCATCCATTTGACATCGATTCACTCGGAACTTTGGATTTGTTTTGACAGCAGCGTCCTAAAGTCGTTCCTTTTCGTTGGGAAACTGTTAATTCTATCCATAATATGGCTCGCTTGCTCAATTTGGAGGTCGTTACATGCTAGACGCGCGTTGAGGAATTAAGTAATCGTCTCTGAAACCATCTAAATTAGTCGTCTTAAAAAGGGAGTGACACTATTTTTACATGAGCCCCGAGATGCTTTCAAATACATGCTGAATAGAGCTCATCTGATCGGAGACATGTTCTCTTTTCAAAATGACTAATTTATCAGTCTCGTAGAGCAAGATTCGAAATATTTTCAAGGCCACTATGCTTTTAAAAATTTCAAAATTTAACCCGAAGAAAGACATATTCCTTTGTGTCTCCCTTTATCCCTTTTAAGTCTTTTCTTGGAATGTCTCCAGTGTTATTTAAGTACACATCTTTACTGTGATGAACAGATACGCATCTCCTAATGCGCGTTAAAATTTGGTGCCGTGCTTTGCCTCCCGCAATCCCCATTACACTTTTTTCTGTTTAAAGTGTTGATGTATGTACAATATTTTTTTTCGAATTTCCTCTAATTGCTACGTAGAAGGAAAGCTTGTTTTAGGCACGTAGAAAAAATACAATTAAAATTATTAGGATTACTAATTCCAGATAGTCATTAATTTAGAACATCTTAATACTTACGTTGCTCTTGAATTGAAAATTGCAAATAGTATTATAATTTATTATTGTATATATGTAATACATCGGTAGTCAAACTGCAGAACCCTGCTTCTTTACTGTAGTATTTCAAAATGTTTGCTCCTGTTATGTTTTTCTAAGAAGAACAAGCCAATTCCACAGTTTTTAGTTTAGGCAAAATATTCTACTAACAGAGAAGAAAAATCGAGACAGATTTCAAGAAACGCACACTAGTTTTCAAAAGAAAATTTAATGTATGACAGGTAGTCTGCAACTTCGCCAACGGAGTCAAGTGGTTTCGCACTTTAGCCACCGATATACATCAATCTCTGTGTGGGACGTCGCAGACCTCCTGTCATATTTTATTTTTTCTTTGAAAAATTAGTCAACGTAATTTCTTAAAAGCTTCCTTAATTTGTCCTCTGTGGCAGCAGAGTATTTTCCGTATAAACAGGCCATGAAGTTTGCTTGCTTTTCCTTAAAAAAAATAAAAAAGAGTGGAAATAATTTTCAAACATCGCACTGGATGTACGTGGATTTCGACTTCGGCCGTAGATATGAACCTAAGTTAGATTGAGTCAACACTGAAAAAAAAAGGAATCTTTTTGCCGCCAAAAAGTATTTTTTCTTTAATCAAGAATTTTGCTGCTTAGTATAAACTACTTTTTTGTTCAACCCGAGCATTTTTTATCGTATCAAGAAAAATTTAGCTTAAATCAACATAAAACAAATTCTTGGCGGCAAATTCAAGAATCTTCATGCTTGAGCCAAGCACATTTTTTTTCAGTGAGGAGTTTTCTTCCTTCACATGGGGATTTTTGTCATTTCAGTGTGGGAAAACCAGGGAAAACCACGAGTTTTCCTCGAAGCTCTCCCCGTATCTCTGAGGAAGTGGGGTCTCCCCAGTATTAGACAACTATGAATCACAGCCATCGATAGTTTCTCATTTGAAGCTATGGCGAAGAATCGATTATTTAGGTCTCGTTTCGAGAACTCTGATAATCGATCAATTTCCATAGGTTCAATTGGCAAATCAATCGATCCATCGCACAGCACGCTACGCCGCCGTTCTCTAGCGTCCACGCTGAAATCAATAAAGCACTTCTTAACACGCGAAGGTTCGATAACTCAGCTCTCCTTGCGCGTTTTAGTGCAACAACCCACCGGGATATTAATACGTGGAGGCCCAAAACTGGGAGTCTCGAAGGGTCATTGCTACAGGGGCATCGCCCGGTGGCTTCGAGGTCCTTGTCGCCGCTCCTCTGACGAAGGGACGTATCTCGATTTTCACATGAGCCACAGAAAGCATTGATTTATATATAAAACAGGGCTCACGTGGAAATCGAGATACGTCTTTACGTCAGAGGGACGACGTCTTGTTACAAATCGGGATTGGACGGACTTCGAGGCGTCCTGTTCGTCTGCCGCACTAAGTTAAAACAACCTATCTCCTCGAGGCTGCTATACGACAGATACGCGGTTTCTTCAATGGTGTTGGTTTCAGCTCGGTGTGATTCAGATTCGAGACTCTTTTCCTTGAGTACGTCTTTTTCCTCCTCCGCCCGCCACGGAAAAACGTTGCATGAAGGCGTTGGACGTTGCCAAATTGTCTTCGTTAAAATGCGAATTTTCCGGAAAACTTGTGAATACATTTCCGTCAATTTTTCACAGAATTTTACTCTCGATTTGATCCGTAGCCCCTGAAAATTCGCAAGCAAACTACTCATAATTTTTTGAAAAATTAAATATCTTACCAGGTGAATTTTGGTAACGTTAGAATGTTCATACGTGGTAAAGGCAGTTTATAAATTATGCCGCGTGACCATTCTATCGTACTACGGAAAAAAGCAGTCACTCCATTTGGACTTGAGCCGTGGTTAGCGTATAATGTTCCACGCTTCGAGGCTCACGCTGGGATTCAGTTACACTGCTGTCTTCGGTGACACGGCAGAATTTTCGCGACAGAATCCCACGCGATGGCGCGGGGAAAATTTATAGCTCGGAGCAGCTTTTCCCTTTCAGCGGGAAATCTCCGCAGTATTTTCCGATTTCCAAGAAACCTCGCCACACTTTATCAGCTCTATCAATTAGCTCGTTTGCCTCTTCGATCTCCCGAGGGAGCGGAGGGGGTAGACCTGGAGTATGGGTACACCTCCGACTTTTCCAACGCGCAAAAAGGGGTTTTTGCACTTCGCAGAAGATCGAAGAGGAAAAGACGTGACGGGGATTTTAAGCTCTTTCAAGGTTAAGTGATTTTGGATCCGTCCCGCTTAACCTACGCAGAATTTTGCGAGGAACACGGTGGGATATTCTGCCGTGCTATAAGGAAGAACGCCGTATGAACATTCGAGTGTTGCCAAATTTCCCTCAATAAAATGTTCATTTTGAAGGAAATTTATGAATATTTTTCTGTGAAATTTTTAGGACTTTTCGGTAGAATTGCGAGACAAATTATCTGAAAAATTTGCGGAAAAACATTTATAGCTGTAATTCGTATTATATCAAAGAAAATTTGGCAACGTCTGAAGGTTCATACGGCGTTCTTCCTTAGCACGGCAGTATTGTTCGAGTTACAAGCTCAACTTCAGAAAAGTTTGCACCAAGTCAACGATGTTTGCACTGCTTCTAACATGTTACTCATAAGATTAGTAAGTCCAAAAAGAAGTTTTGATGGATGAGAAGGTTGATAGGGAGGTCATTCGTCCCTACCCATACTGTTCTACCGGAAAATTGTATCGAATAAATCTTCCGTTGTTTTTAAAATTCTCAATAATTGTCGCAAACACCATCATTAATCGTTTAAGTAGTAAAGAATCAACGAATTTCTCCTTTGGCTATTCAGAGAACTAATGAACCTAATGAATTTTCATTCTTTCTGTTCTGGTACTTCAGAACACATATCTCGCTGTCGGTGTTTAAAAATCTCCGATTTCACTTTATTTTTATTTTTAAGTAGAACAAATAAAAATCATCTCTCGAGGTTTTCATAGAGTTTTCTTCGCATAGAGAAAAAAAATCACGGAGGTTTTCAAGAATTGACGGTAAGTAGTTTTCCCTTTAAAAAATAAAGCGTGACAGAAAGTATGCAACGCCGCAAACCAAGATACGTGGTCTGGTAGTTTCATCTTCGATAT